GGGCCGGCCCTGTGGCTTGGTGGTTAAGTGCGCGCGCTGCGATGCTGGTGGCCCGGGTTCGGATCCCGGGTGCGCATCAAGGCACCACTTCTCCGTTCATCCTGAGGCCGAGTCCCGCATACAGCAACTAGAAGGATGTGCAGCTACGACATACAACTATCCACTGGGGCTTTGGGGGAAAAATAAAATAAATAAAATCTTTAAAAAATAAAAAAATAAAAAAATAAATAAAAGGACTTAAAATATACATATATAACCACCATGCCATTATTGTGCCTAATAAAATTAACAGTGATTCCTTAGTATAGTCTAATACTCAGTCTGTATTCAAATTTCCCTAACTATTTTAAAGATGAATTTTTGTAGTTGGGTTTGTAGAAATCAGGTGAATGTTGGGGCTGGCCCCGTGGCTTAGCGGTTAAGTGAGGGCGCTCCGCTGCTGGCGGCCCGGGTTCGGATCCCGGGCGCGCACCGACACACTGCTTCTCCGGCCATGCTGAGGCCATGTCCCACATACAGCAACTAGAAGGATGTGCAGCTATGACATACAACTGTCTACTGGGGCTTTGGGGGAAAAAAAAAAAAAAAAAAAAAAAAAAAAAAAAAAAGAAATCAGGTGAATGTGTTATTTTATTTATTTATTTTTGTGAGGAAGATTAGCCCTGAGCTAACATCCATGCTAATCCTCCTCTTTTTGCTGAGGAAGACCAGCTCTGAGGTAACATCTATTGCCAATCCTCCTCCTTTTTTTTCTCCAAAGCCCCAGTAGATAGTTGTATGTCATAGCTGCACATCCTTCTAGTTGCTGTATGTGGGACATGGCCTCAGCATGGCTGGAGAAGCGGTGCGTCGGTGCGCGCCCGGGATCCGAACCCGGGCCGCCAGTAGCGGAGCCGAGTACTTAACCGCTAAGCCACGGGGCCGGCCCCAGGTGAATGTTTTATAGCAAACAAAAGATAGCTCTCAGAGATGACAAGCTAAATTTCTTCACGCCTGTGGCCTTAGGCCCAAATCAGCTATGTGAAGAAAATTATATTTGCCTTTAAATGCCATTTGCTGGTTCCTCTCCCCACCTACAACTAGATTATTTACTTTCAAAAAATGATACAAAACTTTTATAAAGAACCTGTAGGTAAAATAGAGCAAAGCAAAAGCCATGCTGAAATCCATACAAGCACATCCCTCAAAAGCAATGAAATACAGAAGAATTAGAATGAGGATGATCATTTAACAAAAGAGAGATACACAAAGGACAGATGTTAAGCCAAATGATTTCCCCCTCAATAGCCAAACCAACAGGATTTATAGATTTAGAGGGTGGGATCTAGACGGATGGTAAACTTGATGGCGTTGGAATTTGCTTTTAAAAATCTGTACTACTTCTTTCTGCAATAAGAACTTGGGGTTTCCGAGAAACATACTGGCGGACGTGGTTTGAAGAGGAAATCCAATTACCTCAGAGTTGTTCTCCTTTTAACAGTAAGTTCTGATCCATGCTCTATAGGTCAAGAGCACAGTTCAAATTTCTCTTTGCTCCCTTTTTGAATCATACTTCATCTCTGCCTCCCTGCTTGTTTTAGCTCTCTACGTAACGCGCTGAGGGGCAGAGATTCCGGTCTCCACACAATGGCCCACCATTCAACCACATTCTGCTTTGTCCCTAAACATTCATTCCCCCTGGCTCCTGCTGGGTCTGTTATATTCAGATATGAACTTTCCAGGAATCTGATCATGTCATAGGCCTTTTTCTGTACGACAAGTTCAATGCTAATAATGAATAGCGGGCTTCACACAGAGGGTTAGTATTATTCATGAAAATTATGACTCCACATCCAGAAATAGGGCAAAACTGGCCTAAAATAGGCAGGCTGTATCTCAATTGAGTCCACCAGGCAATTACCAAGGTCCCTTGCTGCAAATAGCACAGGAGTTTTTCTCAACTATGTTAATCAGACACACTAGAAGCACAATGTTCTGCCAGACTCAAGGTCTGAGGCTCGGCTTGACGGGGAACCCTGGTGCCCACAGGATAAATGGAAGAGTTTTTCAAAGAACCAAAGCCAGACACTCCCTCTACCCTCCCAAACTAGGTATTCCCCAGTTCTCATTACCAATTTCTGTAAATCTCTCTACCCAGACCATTTCAAGGGCAGCTTTAGAAGCTTTGAGAGAGTTACCAAAGGGCCATAAGAAAAGGAAATGATACTTAATTTTCCTTTTTGGAACAGTGAGGCACATTCCAGCAAATATTACAAATTAGAGGGGTACTAGATGATTTGTACCATTTTGCTATAATTCTCTCTTCTGGAACTTAGTTTCAATGACCACATGAGCCAGCTCCCATTGGCCCAAATTATATTTTATAAATGCAAGTTGAGGATTATCTTTCCAAATAAAAGCGCCCAGATTGAAATCCCCTGTGTTCGCCATTCCTGAGAGAATGACATAGGCTGGCTAAAAGACTATCTTTGTGTAAAACAAATGGACCGAGGAAAATCTGCTTTCCTCTCCCCCTGCCCCTTTCTTCTTTACATAACTAGAGCCAAATGAGATGTTTTTCATTTTAAAAATTTGATTAAGCAGACTGAGTAAAAGCCCATTCTTCTGGTCTTTACTGTTTTCTCAATTTTGAGATGGATGAAGGCACACTCAGGTTGGAGGATAGTGAAGCAGGGCCTAACTGCCAGGCAGAGGCAACATTTGGAAAGTTAACTTATGAAAGGTGAGCACTGGACCTGCAGCACCGGTTCAAGGACTGCCCTTCCCCCTTGAGGCATCAGAATTTAGACTGTTGAGTGGGCATGACTGAGAGGGTCCCAGGTCCCACGTGAACATCCATGTCACTCTGCCTACACAGCCTCCTGACCTGAGGAGTGAGAGAGGTGGCAGGGCAAGGAATAGGTTTAAATAATAAGGAAAAAATAACTCAGGTAGAATTATTATGAATGAGCTGTCCTTTTCTTCAGCTCTAGGAACTGAGAAACCCTGCTCCTCTGGCATAATTAAAAGGATATTATAAACACTGTATTAATAAATTCCTACACAGTACCATGTTTAGTTTTGGTTTCTGTACTTTAAATCTTCCCACAATATTTTCTACTTTGTTTTAAAGTATCTTCCTCAGATTCTCTGCCACACCACATATCTCCTGAAGGTCAGGGTATCTTTCTGCCTTGTACCTTGCATATAATAAATATTAAATATAAAAATGAATGAAGGAAACAGAAAACAGGCCTTGTAATAAAAGGCTGAAGAAACTGGGTTTTTTGGTAAGAGAGAAGAACAAGTTGTGAGTTATCATAAAAACAATAGAACATCTTTATACTAATGTGAGGAAAAGGACTATCACGATGGCTTTGGAAGGTATCTAATTAGGTATTTACTGAATATCACTTTTTAGGGGACATAGCATGTCAAATCCAAATAATACAAGTATCATAACCTAGTTTCACTGTCTGCAAAGGAGTTCTTTATTCATTTAAAAAAATTCATTCCTGGATCAAAATGAATAGACAACCCACCAGCTGGGAAAAAATATTTGCAAACCATATATCTGACAAGGGATTAATCTCTATAATACATAAAGAACTCACAAACTGAACAACAAAAATCAAACAACCTGATCAAAAAATGGGCAAAGGAAATGAACACATACTTCTCCAAAGAAGATATACAGATGTCCAATAGGCACATGAAAAGATGTTCAACATCACTAATCATCAGGGAAACGCAAATCAAAACTACAATAAGATATCACCTTATACCCATTAGAATGGCTATAATCATCAAAACAAAAAGCAACAAATGCTGGAGAGGCTGTGGAGAAACAGGAACCCTCATACACAGCTGGTGGGAATGCAAACTGGTGCAGCCTCTAAGGAAAACAGTACAGAGATTCCTCAAAAAATTAAAAATAGAGGGGGCCGGCCCCGTGGTGTAGCAGTTAAGTGCGTGCGCTTCGCTGCTGGCGGCCCGGGTTCGGATCCCGGGCACGCACTGACACACTGCTTGTCAGGCCATGCTGTGGCAGCGTCCCACATAAAGTAGAGGAAGATGGGCACGGATGTTAGCCCAGGGCCAGTGTCCCTCAGCAAAAAGAGGAGGATTAGCATAGATGTTAGCTCAGGGCTGATCCTCCGCACAAAAAAAAAAAAAAAAAGAAATACCTTATGATCTAGTTATCCCACTACTGAGTATCTACCCAACGAACCTGAAATCAACAATCCACAGAGCCTTATGCACCCCTATGTTCATTGCAGCATTATTCACTATAGCCAAGACATGGAAGCAACCCAAGTGTCCCTCAACTGACGAGTGGATAAAGATGTGGTGTGTATATCTATCTATCTATATACACGTACATAGATATATATACACAGGAATACTACTCAGCCATAAAAAAGACAAAATCGTCCCATTTGCAACAACATGGATGGACCTGGAGGGTATTATGTTAAGCAAAATAAGCCAGAAAGAGAAAGACAAACACCGCACAATTTCACTCATAAGTGGAAGATAAACCAACACACGGACAGATAGAACTGTTTGGTGGTTACCAGGGGCAAGGGGGGTGGACGGTGGGCACAAGGGGTGAAGGGATGCATTTACATGGTGACTGACAAACAATAATGTACAAGAAAAATTGCACAATAAAGAAAAAAAAATTCATTCCCAAAAGTGCACAGTACTTTTTTTTTCTGGCCTACTACTAAGCTGTTGCCATCTCTATCCATGAAAGAATCAGCAAGAGGAAATTAAGAAGCAGAAATTCTGGTTGGGCTTATCCATCAAGGGAATGGGGTCCTGAGGGAACTGGACATTCACATTTCTGAAAAGCCTTCAACAAGAGAAGTGAAAATCCTCAGCCCAGGATGGCCTCTCCTTTCACCTGCTTCATAAAATCCACCTGCCTGAACTAACTGCCATCTGGCAGTAGCCTCCACCTCTGCACTCAAGTGTTCCCTGTCCTGAAACCTTCAGATGGTGCATTAGAGTCTTACTCTGGCAAGCAGGTATCTCGCAGTACTTCCAGTAGACACCGTCCTCATGCTCTGCCACGTAGCACCAGGGGCTCACATCTCCATCTGGGTTTCTGTTAGGGAAAAGGACACAACCAGTAACATTTCCGTCGTTTTAAGTTAGCTGGCTCATTGCTTTTCATTTTTCCCAAAAAGTAACACTTCAGCTTCTGTGTTATTTCTTTTTTTTTTTTTTTTTT